GCTTGCGGAGTCTAGCACGGGAATTAGCCTGTGAAGCGCTCGCGCGGGAGTCGAACCGCGGGGGGCTGCACACATTGGTGGGCGGCTCCCCATTCCTTCCCGTAGGGAGCGAGCGTGTCGTCCGGGGTGTCCCCCTTACCCCGGACGCTGTCATTTAACGCCGTACAGTGGCGGGTCGCGGTTTCAACTCAACTCAACTCGACTCAACTCAACTAGCTCTGGGCCGAGGGGGCCCAACGCGCTTCCAGCTGTCGTGCATGCTGGAACTCGGCCGTATATCGTTGCTCGGTCTCGCGCGCTGCCTGCTTCAGCAGGCGCAGGTTGGCGGCCAGGTCCGGCTCGAGGTTAGTCGCGCTGAGGAACTGCTTGATTATCCTCTTGCGCTCGTGCGGTGTAGTGTAGAGCGGCCGGAGCAGACGGACGTGGTCCAGCGTCTTGAAGCGGGTCAGCAGCACATACAGGGTGGCGCGCTTGATGCCGTTGGGTGGGACAGCGAGATCCACCAGCCAGCACTCGTCTTTGAAGCTGCGGCCTTGCACGAAGTAATCGGTGACCGCCTGGCGGTCGCCGAGCGGTACGTTGAGGCGCCGGATCTGCTTTGTGATGGTGCCGTACCCGGCGGCAGGCATGTCGACCTCGGCAATGCAAGACGCCCGGGGTGACAGGATGAAGGCACCACCCCTGCTGGCGTAGTCTCCAAGGCCCTGCAGCACGGTGCCGGGGATGTGGCCGCTTATAGGCCGCACAATGACAGCCGCTGGAAGGTACTTGAGCCGGCGGTAGGGGCCACGGCCATCATCGGCTGGCTCGCGGCCATCCTCAAGCAGGCCGCAGGCTTCCACCTCATTGTTGTGGCTCGCTCCGGCATCGGCAGCAGTCGTATCAAGGAGGATGTATCGGGCGCCATGGTAGTACCACGTGTCGGCGGTGGTGTGGCCAAACTCGTGATCCTTGATCCGCATCGCAACTGCTTTCTCCACGTGTGTCAGGGCCGGTTCCGCAGCAGCACCGCGCTTCTGGACAGGGACGTGGTCCGCATTCCACACCACAAGGCGCTGCTTCTTGCGCTGTGCCTCCAGCATGATGAGCCGGGTATTGAGTGTGTGGCGTGGTTCGTTCCTCTGCAGCACGACGCGCGGCTCGAGGTGTGCCAGGTCGGCCAAGTCGACGATGGCGCGGCTGTTAAGGTCGTCGACCATCTCGGCTATGCGCTGCTCGGTGGCTGGCTCACCGCCAAACATAGAGGCATACTCTGTCAGGCGACGACCAGAGGGGCTGCTGTCCTGGCGCTGCTGCTTCTCCAGCAAGAAGACCGTCTTAGCCAGGGATCGGTAAACCCGGAAGCCCTCAAGTATGCAGCTCTGCGTCTGTGGGACGGCCCGGGGCCGGCGTGCTGCTGCTTCGGGTTGCTGCTGACTGCCTTGAGATCCAGCGGCGGCCTCATTAGGGTCGCCATCGTTGTCCTCGTCTCCGTGCAGAGGTTGCACGGTTGGGACAGAGGGCGAGAACTGAGGGTTGCATTCCACAGCAGCGGCGTACTTGTAGAGGGGCGGGCCACCTGGCTTCGGGTGCTGGAACTCGTCGCCCGTGTTGGCGCTGGGACGGCCGCTGAAGATGGTGGCGGCGGGGTGGTCGCCGGCGAGATGCGGTGGCGGCAACAGGTGACGAGTGCAGGACTGGTTGCACGCACCCAGGTGGTCCAGGCTGTTCATGCCGATCTCGTCAATGATGAGTGCACCATCACCGACATTCCGATGCACCTGTAGGCTGGCTGCGCTGCCTTTCCTGACGCTGTCCGCTCGGTTGCTGCCAGCAGATAGGGCGAACATGGCGTGGGTAGAGAGGCTGCGATGCACCGGCGTGCTGAAGGCAGTTGCAGCAGCCCATGAGTAGGCGCAGGTGGCCGCCCAGTGCGGACAGCCATGCTGGAAGGTGTACCACAGGAGCGCTTGTACGAACTGGCTCTTTCCGGTACCGGGCTTGCCCTCCACAAGCATCTGCGGCGGGTCGCCAGGGTTGGGCTCATCGCGATGATCGAAGTACCGAGCCATGAGCATAAAGGGCACGGCCTGGTGGGGGGCAAGCGTGAACAGCTCGATGGTGTCGTCGATGCTGGGCGGCTGGGGGAGGTGCACATAGATGGGCATGCGAGCCTGTTCAGTCCGCTCAGGAGTGCCAGGCATGCGCACGATGGCGACCAGGGGTCCGCTGGTGGGGCGGTGCAGCTCGACACGAGGGGTGTCCATCTCAGGTGTGGCCGTCAGTCCCGTGTGGGCGCCCCCATCTGCCTCAACAGTGCCGGCTGCTGCGGCAACGAGATACCGCTTCAGACGCTTGGTTGCTTCAGTCAGGAGGGGCAGGTCCGCTGGTGTGATCCGACGGCTGAAACGATCGCTGCCTGCACCATGGCCATCCGCTAGGGCCGGGGCCCGGCAGCGCCGTGCTGCATTATAGGCATACACGCCAGCAGCGTTGGTGCAGTCAAACAGGTCCGTAAGAGCGACGGCGGCGAGGTCGGTGCCAGCCGTCGGATACTCCTGACCTGGGATGTACACGAAGTGCTCCAGCTGGTCCTCGGCGGGCGGCTGTGTTTCAGGATCAGGCCTGAGATGCCCGCGGATGCCGTCATCGGTATCTCCATCCGAAGCGCTCGTGCTGTCACCTTCAGGCAGCGCGGCTGCTGCCGCTGCTGCACGCTGCTGGCGGCGCCGTTGGTTGTACTCCGCCTGACGGCGGGCTTTCCCAGCGTGGTCCTCTTCGATGTTGTCCAGCAGCACCGATACGTATGCCTGGTACGAGCGACCTGCCTCGGTAGTGCCCAGCTCTGCCCACCAGGTGTCGTAGGCTTCCTTTACAGTCAGCCCGGGGGGGATGGGCTGACCCCGGTGAGCTTTGAAAGTACCCAGGACAAACGCGTAGTACTGCGCCATGCCCGCAGCAGAGGTGCCAGGGCGGGGCCGGCGGGGAAGAGAGCCTCCAAGCTGTACATATCGTG